CAAAGTTAACTCAACAACGTCCTTTTACTATCTTTAGGTAACGTAAAATATTTACTTCGTGTGCACTTATAACCCCCTACAACACAATTTACTGGCATATTGTGTAAAACTCGGGAAACTATGTAATATACTAACAGCCTAGGGTAGAAATTCGGGCTTTTCTTCCTCCGCTAGGCCACCGTCGCAGTGTTTTGATTTCGCGCTTGGATGAAGTTTGGCAAAGTCGGTCACCAATGACGTCATTGAGTGACCTCTTTGTTTCTAAGGTCTTTCAAAAATGAAACTTTAAACTCATTTTTTTCGTACAAAATCAATTTTATTCGTAATATATGACCAACACTTGTGTTTATAATATATTTATAAATATAAACAAGCTGTAGTTTATAAAAATTGTCAGAATAGGTGGCAGAGGCACTTTAATCACAATAATATACAATAATTAATTTATAGAATTCATCGTAAAAAATAAAGTAAGCCTACACTACTGAATAGTAACTCTGTTAATTTTAAAAGCATTTTAAAATAAAAATCAGAAAAAAAAATAATTGTTATTTTACTCTACTGTAATTATTTATTTATTTTTTATTTATTTCATTTCATCAAACCAACAGCGAATCATCGCCACTAACAGGCTGGTAAAATATATAAAATTTAAATACAGTATATCAAATATATAGACGAAAGAGTACAAAAATCTCACCTATTCAAATGATTAATAATAATAGAACGAAATATAGACAAACTGTTGTGAAAAATGTCAATATTAGAGGTTAAAATAAGAGAATTATATTGAAGAGAAAGTCTAGAAATAAAACTACGTTTACAGACATCAACTCTACAAAAGGGGACATTAAAGGTAGGACAGGAACGAATACTTCTAGAATTAACATGATGAAGACACTCAGATCGCGATGAACAGAAACTTTTTCTAAAACAATATCCCCAATTTTATAAGGAAAATATAAAGGTTTTAATTTAAGAGAAACAGACATTGATTTACATTTGGAGACATTGAGAGAAAGACCCCAGTGCCGACTCCATGCAACCACAGCATCAAGATCTTCCTGAAGACCCCTAGCATCACTCTCAGTCCCGACAATACGATACAGCTTCAGATCATCAGCGTACATAAGGCAATGTGAGTTGTTAACAAAATAAGGAAGATCATTAATGAATAAATTGAAAAATAAAGGACCAAGGATAGACCCTTGGGGGACGCCAGATGGAACGGGTTTGGATTTAGAACAAAAACCGTCAATAACCACACGTTGACTGCGATTAGAGAAATAATCAGAAATTAAGCTAAAAGGGGACCGGTGATACCAAATTTTTGAATTTTAAAAATAAGTTGAGAATGGGAAATGCAGTCAAAAGCTTTGGAAAAATCTGTGAATATAATGTCACATTGTAATTTAGAGTTGATTGCATTAAGTGCGGTGAATAAAAAACTAGCAAGATTAGTTTGAGTTGACCTACCTGGAATAAACCCGTGTTGAAATGAACTTAAAACAGGAGAAACATGGGGAAAAATTTGATCAAAAAGAATACGTTCAAATATTTTGGAAAGAGATGGGAGCAGTGAAATGGGACGGTAATTGGTAATCTCATTACGGGAACCCCCCTTGAAAATGGGACAAATATTAGCTTGTTTCCAGACATCAGGAAATTTGCCTGTGGAAAGAGATAAATCAAATATTTTTTAAGGGAACAGAAAGCGGAACAGAACCAGCTTTAAGCAAAATGGTTACTGATACCATCACAGCCAACGGCCTTATTTACACAAAGCTTACTTAGATGACCTGAAACTGCATCAGCACTGACGGTTACCGAGGAAAGATAGTCCAAGGGGTACTCAGGAAGATCAGGAGCTTCAGGGATTAGAGACTGCTGAGAAGATGTATTATTATTATTATTATTGTTATTAGTATTAAAAAATGAATTGAAGTAAATACTAAAAGCATTAGCTCTTTTCAAAGAGGTGGCATGGACTTGACCTTGATAATGGAGTACAGAGGGCAATGTTGATGACTTCCGTGATGTTCTAATCCAAGACCAAAATCTTTTAGGATTGATATTCAGATCGTTTGAAAGAGCATCTGTACCGCTGATTACAAAGTTTTTTGAAATTTGTTCTGGCCATTCTAAAATCTTCAACAGCAAGTCGAGTTTTAGTTCTTTTCTTAAGTTTAAATAATTTTTCCTTAAGTTTTAAAGCTTTGTATAATTCATGATTAAACCAAGGTGGGAGTTTTCTTTTTGGTTTAAACACAGGAACAAAATCTTTAATTGTTGCATGGAGTAAATCATAAAATAAAGAAGTGGCCTCATTAACATCATTAGTTAAATCAAGAATATTCCAAGGAATAAAATTTAAAGTATTTACAAGGTCATTAAAATTGAGTTTTTTAAAATTGTATAAAAGTCTATTATCATTATTATTAAAATTATCATTATTATCATTGCACTGAAATGTATAAAAAATAGACAAAGATTCATGATCAGATTTGAAAATATTTAATCCAGACGTAATACCAGAAGAGTCGAGATGTTTGCTACAAAGTACCAAGTCTAAAATCCTATTGTTACATGTTATGGAAGTATTGCACTGATAAAGGCAATTACTATTTAATACTGTGTCAATAAAAAGCTGACTCATATTATCTAATCTGTCATTGTTATTAATGGTGTGAAGACCAGATGAATCCCAGCCAAGAGCTGGAAGATTGAAATCCCCAAGTATCATCACATCACATCCAATACTGTTGGGATACTGGTACAATGCTGTTTCGACTGAATGTGCAAGCTGATTGATGGATTGCACACTCTGACCGGGTGGCCTATAATAGACCCCAAGTAGTATCTTCTTTGTGTTGGAAAATACAATTTCTACCCACATAAGTTCTTGGTTGTCGTTTTCCATGTCGCTAATGCGGGAAGACTTGAATTTATTATGCACTAACAACAACAAACCACCGCCTCTCCTTCTGTCACCTCTATCTCTCCTGAACATGGAGAAATTAGCAAGGGATACTTCAGGATCAGTAACAGTTTCATTTAACCATGTCTCACACAAGGCAACAATATCGATTGTATCCAGTAGATGTCCTCGTAGTTCACTATGGAATGTTTCCATCTTATTTTTCAAGCTCCGAATGTTCTGGTAGTAAATGTGAATTTCACGGGCGCTGTCTACTTGAGGTCCAGGGTTAGGTTGGACATCACCTGACATAACTAGCACCTGGGCATGGAATGTTGCTTGAGAATTATTATAGTATATTGCTGGCCTGCCTTTAATGTTATTAAAATTTTATTGGGAATTTCAATTTACAAAAAATAAATATATGTACATAAGTGAATACAACTGGTTACCTAGTATAGTACTGCATCTAAAATCACTGCAAGTGCAAGCTGCTATCTTTCAAAAATCTAGATACATTACTGTAATACACTAATTGCAATTTGCCCTGAGCCCTGTAAATATTATAATTTTTATTTAACATAGCTGGAGCCATTTCGACCCTATATATTTATGAGGAGTTGAGGAGCATAAATATATGGGGTCGAAATGGCTCCGGGTATGTTAAATAAAATTATATGTCGATTATGACACCTAAACTTATTGACAGTATTATATTGAAAATCACAATCAAACATTATACAGTATTGAAAAGTACTGAATACTAATAGTAACACTATTAAATTCAAACCCGTTTTTTCTAAATATAAATCACAATTAAAATAATTTGTTTTTTACACTAATTAGAATGTTATTAAAAATTTATTGGGAACTTAAAAAAAATTGGTAGTGATAGTTAGACTGGTGTGTTTCATGGATTGTTTTTTAAATCCAAATCTCTATAAAACAATACTTAATCAGCAGTAATACACAATAACTAAATTTTAAAATAAATTTATTAGTATATATATATATAATATATATATATACAGTACCAGTACTGAAAAGTAAACAAGCCTGTGACTTCCAAGCCAGTTGAAAAAAAAAAATCACAATCAAAATAATTTTTTTTTTACACTGATTAGAATGTTATTAAAAATTCATTGGGAATTTGAAAAAATTGGCAGTGATAGTTAGACTGGTGTGTTTCATGGATTGTTTTTTAAATCCAAATTTCTATAAAACAATACTTAATCAGCAGTAATATACAATGATTAAATTTTAAATTAAATTTATAAATAAAAGAAAATATACAGTACCATTAATGAAAAGTAGACAACCCTGTTACTTCCAAGCCAGTTGAAAAAAAAAATCACAATCAAAATAATTTTTTTTTTACACTAATTAGAATGTTATTAAAAATTCATTGGGAATTTAAAATTTTTTGAAGTGATATATAGACTGGTGTGATTCTTAGTTTTTTATTTTTAATCCAACTCTATAAAAAAATAAAAAAATACTTAATCAGCAGTAATATACAATAATTAAATTTTAAAATAAACTTATTAGTCAAAAAAAAAATATATACAGTACCAGTCCTGAAAAGTAAAACCTGATACTAACCCTGTTACTTCCAAATTTGTTATATTTTACACTAATTAGGATGTTATTAAAAATAAATTCAGAATTTTGCAAGCTCTAGAATTCTTAATTCTTCATTATTCTTTGTCAGTCTCAATATTGATTATACCAAAAAAATATGAGGGTAACTAACATTACCATTCCTAAAAACCAACAATTTCATGTTACATTTTCAATTTCAATACAACTGTAGTATATTGTTCTGATCTTCTTAACTGTATTCATTATTATCTGCTTTCTGTTTATCTTTTGAACATCAATAGCTTCCGTTTATGCACGACTTGGCCTCTTCCCATTTTTCAATTTGCAGTAAAGCCTGTTAATTGCTGTTAATGTTGAAAGCATGCAGTATCAGCATTCAGTTGCTGGAGTTCAAAGTGTTCTGGAAGATGAAGAAAGATATTGAGTTACAAAAAACAAAACAAATGTAAGGTACACGTATCTACTACAATCTGAGGACTGCAATGGACATGCCGAATAACAACCGTAGTGTAAGCCTACCTATACCTCTCGAGCCAGTCTAAAATGCCCCTTCTGCCCTTTGCTAATACTTTACTACTACTACCTGGTGCTGACACCTTGAATGTATAGGGGAGGCCCTGGCCAGGTGGGCCCCCTGCCCCTTCGAATTTGCCAATGTTAGTAGATATCTTGGATCAATTAACATACAGAAATAAAAATTGCTGTTTTTAGGGGATTTTTCAGGCACCATGTGTGATGATGTATTTTGATGAGGGTGTACCTTTTTGATATATTTACCATTTTTTATTAATTTTGTCAGAAACCTGGTACTAAATATATAAATTTTATTTCATGAAATAAAAATAAGAAGTATTAAACCATATTTTATGATTTTATTTGACATACCTTCAATTCTTTAGAATTTCATTTCCCTGGATAATTAACTTAAATTGGCCGTATTATACTGTTTGTTTAAAAAATTGTTTTGACTTATATAAACTATTGGAAACAATGCTTAAAATGGTTTTCAAAGGTAAATCCATTTTTTTATATCTTCTTCAAATATCGATTTGTGAAGATTAATCATATTCTTCAAAAAATACCCTCCGTAGTTACTGTAAATAATGGTTCCATGGTGTCCCAAAAACACACCACATACAGTACGGTAGTGTTGAAAATTGTTCTGTTATTGAGTTATGATTACGGTGTCCAAAGATTCCTCGAAAACACTTAATATTTCTGTACGTTACGTACCGCTGCACACTGCTGTACGGTTATTCATCAATCCAAGAAAGATGTCTAGGACTGAGAGTAGTAGACTTCATACTGTGTTCCCGATTTTATTAATAGCCCTAGACTAACTCTACCCATTCCATTTCATATAATAAACATCTTTTACTATTTTCACAAACTTTCTTCATACCTTCTTGTCTGTGCTTCCGCCAATACATTTGAAGGGTCTAGGAAAGCCGACGATCTACCTGGTTGGGCCCTGACCCCGGACTTGACATACAATCACCCAGCCTCGCACTCAGCTTCATAATCACAAATTTCTGATGAATAAGGCCTAGTGTCAGCGGGAGCGCATGACTCCTCTCAAATACAAAAATCTTCATAATCAATAATTGTCAATTTGAACACATCACTCGCGATGCGTTCATACAGTACTACTAGAAATGATAAAATAACTCAAGAACATAAATACACCACAGCGTGAATAACTCCAATCCAAAACTAATTTTTCATTGTTAACCATTGTCAAGTTCCCGTTGTCATAATTCTCATAGTCAGATGTTTATAAGCTTGGTTTTCTTCCTTCATAGAACCACATCTCTAGTTCCCGGTAATACCGGAGTTGCTCTCCGCAGGGTACGACTGCAACACTTAGTCAACAACATAAAGGCCCGCGGTGTTCACAGAAACAAAAATGTTGGATTTCACATCACGTTCAAAAACGACCAACTAAAACAAATTTCACTTAACAAGCCATCAGCACAGCTCATCGTTTATCCTGCAACAAGTGACTTTTTTTCCTACGACACTGTACCTTTCCCGGATATCTTTGACAACGTTTTACCGGATACACCGCATGCGCGACAATTACCCAATGATCTGTGCCGCATCCTCAACTGGGCTTCTCCAACCATCTCTGTCAAACAACTTCAGCAACAAATTATTTTCATCTAGCACACATGTACAAAATTTTGAGAAATGAGCCCATGACACTGCTTCCTGGTCGAGTGAATGGAAGTACTTCAGTCGATGATTATTCGTGAGGTCACTTAGCTGATACAATTAATAAGTATACTGAGCATGCTGATAAATTTCACCGATTAATGCTGTTTAAGTATGGCAATGTATTAACTGGATATGAAATGAAATTCATCGACGTAGTACCACAGCTACTGGAAAGGTATCCTTTTCACTCTGTCTTGAGACTTTCGACAGAACAAGGAGAGCGAACACACTATATGGACATGTGTCGATTTTATCAACATTCGACACGCGGTGGTGGATCGACCAAACAGGATCCAATTTCCAAATTGTTTGGATGGCAATGGCGTATGGTCCATCATCGTATTCGAGAATGTCCAGTGGAAGTGCGGAATCGTTTTGAACATTTCATCGCAACCAAAATGCGTCCGCCAGTTGAAGAACCGAATAATGATGGAGATGCGAGACTAGTGTGTGAGAACACCATACCAAAGCCCTGGAAGGAAGAAGCATCGTCATAGTAGGAAGACTAGGATAATATACCTTTGCCGCAATTTCTAGTAATAACAACGCAAGCAGAATGTGATAAGGATCCTCCTAAAGTTGCCATGGTGTTAGCTGAGTGCTTTAGAAGAGGTGTTGAAATACTAAGTGATGCACTACTTAGAAGTCTGGAAAATGGTACATTTACATCGCTAGAGAACTACAAGCTAGATCTAAATAGTCTGAAAAAATGCTCCATACACAACAATCCAGTCTGTGGCACCTGATAACAGTATTACAACTACAACAGGTAAGCCTATGCTGAACTATTAGATAAATTTTCTATTGCTTCACGAATTGATTTGTACCGAATATATTCTGTCTCTTATACACATCTAGATGTGTATAAGAGACAGGAAATAAAAATTGCTGTTTTTAGGGGATTTTTCAGGCACCATGTGTGATGATGTATTTTGATGAGGGTGTACCTTTTTGATATATTTACCATTTTTTATTAATTTTGTCAGAAACCTGGTACTAAATATATAAATTTTATTTCATGAAATAAAAATAAGAAGTATTAAACCATATTTTATGATTTTATTTGACATACCTTCAATTCTTTAGAATTTCATTTCCCTGGATAATTAACTTAAATTGGCCGTATTATACTGTTTGTTTAAAAAATTGTTTTGACTTATATAAACTATTGGAAACAATGCTTAAAATGGTTTTCAAAGGTAAATCCATTTTTTTATATCTTCTTCAAATATCGATTTGTGAAGATTAATCATATTCTTCAAAAAATACCCTCCGTAGTTACTGTAAATAATGGTTCCATGGTGTCCCAAAAACACACCACATACAGTACCTGTCTCTTATACACATCTAGATGTGTATAAGAGACAGGTACCGCTGATCATCACCATCATCATCATCATCACCATCGTCATTGTCGTTGTCGTCGTCGTCATTATTATTATTATTATTATTATTATTATTGTTATTATTATTATTTATTTATTTATCATCATCATCATCACCATCATCATTATCATCATCATCATCATCATTATTATTACAACGAATGTGAATCCTTCATAAGTAAATATTACAATTTTTTTTTCAACAGCAAAGGTCGGAGTGCATACTGTATGCTAAAACGAAAAGAACGACAAGACAGACAGCCTTTGCAACTGATTTGTCAAAATGCACAAACGAAAAGGAAACACCGAAAATCAAACCAGGTTAAACGTAAAAGACTGTCAGCTTATACACATCTCAATTTTTATTTCTGTATGTTAATTGATCCAAGATATCTACTAACATTGGCAAATTCGAAGGTTTTCTATTCTTTTATTATCATTATTATTACGCTCAACAAATTGTTTTGTCATTGTTTCTTCTAATTAAAGATAATGCATGACCAGCCAGAACTACAGTTCGGAGAAAGAACCGCAATCATTAACCAAATGTGGAGGGAATGTACCAATGTTGAACGACGAGAGTGGAATGAACGTGCCCAAAACGATCAGCCTTTGTAAAGTTTAGTTTCTGTGACAACAATGCTTTTACTCTAGGTATGCCCATATATTCCTTCATCCATTCATTCATCCATCCATCCATTCATTCATCCATCCATCCATCCATCCATCCATCCATTCATTCATTCATTCATTCATTTGGTTAAAATCACAATACAAATTTACAGCAAAAACATGAAATTAAAGGCAATTACACTAATGTTTTAAATTGTCACACTAAAACTTCAGATTCAGATTTGATTTATTGATTCATTCACATCATACATAACAGTAAACACACACACTTATCATAATCAGGGACAAACATATTTTTTTCTTAGCCAACCCGTTCGGAGATAACACTTCCCTCCCCACCCCCAACTAGGCTTCTCAGAACAAAACAAATTACAATGTTTTATTAATGTGCCTTTGTAGGATATAAAATAATACTATTTTATATAAAACTACAAAAAGTACCGGACCTGTGTGTACTGTACTTAATTACTTCAGTCAAGTCCTACAAGATTTATAATTGTGTTCACGCATCCTCTAGTCACTGCATTATAGTATACATTTTTCATCACAGAAGCCCGTATACGCTGTGTTTTGAAGAGAAAAACATGTCTAAATTACATATAATGTGAATTCAATCCCTGTTTGAATTAAGCTGTTGTGATGGTTTATTATATATATATATATATATATATATATATATAGATCTTCAATAAAACAACTTGTTTGAAAGCCACTATAAATACATTACCAATGATGGTAATTTCGAATCAATTAATAGGACCACGTGAACTGCAGCGAGTTCTATCCTTATCATCTAGATAGTTGCATTCAATAGATTGCTTATTCAAAATAACAATCTATTGATTGACTGTAGCTTACGTTGTAAGTTTCCTTTTGCCGTGAATTTGTAGATGATTGGACCCGAAAGGCGGGTTACTAAACTTGTATACAATTTTGTGGTTCCACAGATACTATTAGAACTTCGACAACGAAGTAAATATGTCTCCAGTGTCTCAGTTCCAGATAGGCCAAGTAGAAGTCTTAGATGAAGTCTTAGATGATGAGACTGGTGTCTGGAGAGCTGCCACAATCACTGGAATAAACAAAACAAAAAAATCGTTTATCCTGCAACAAGTGACTTTTTTTCCTACGACACTGTACCTTTCCCGGATATCTTTGACAACGTCTTACCGGATACACCGCATGCGCGACAATTACCCAATGATCTGCGCCGCATCCTCAACTGGGCTTCTCCAACCATCTCTGTCAAACAACTTCAGCAACAAATTATTTTCATCTAGCACACATGTACAAAATTTTGAGAAATGAGCCCATGACACTGCTTCCTGGTCGAGTGAATGGAAGTACTTCAGTCGATGATTTTTCGTGAGGTCACTTAGCTGATACAATTAATAAGTATACTGAGCATGCTGATAAATTTCACCGATTAATGCTGTTTAAGTATGGCAATGTATTAACCGGATATGAAATGAAATTCATCGACGTAGTACCACAGCTACTGGAAAGGTATCCTTTTCACTCTGTCATGAGACTTTCGACAGAACAAGGAGAGCGAACACACTATATGGACATGTGTCGATTTTATCAACATTCGACACGCGGTGGTGGATCGACCAAACAGGATCCAATTTCCAAATTTTTTGAATGGCAATGGCGTATGGTCCACCATCGTATTCGAGAATGTCCAGTGGAAGTGCGGAATCGTTTTGAACAGTTCATCGCAACCAAAATGCGTCCGCCAGTTGAAGAACCGAATAATGATGGAGATGCGAGACTAGTGTGTGAGAACACCATACCAAAGGCCCTGGAAGGAAGAAGCATCGTCATAGTAGGAAGACTAGGATAATATACCTTTGCCGCAATTTCAAGTAATAACAACGCAAGCTGAATGTGATAAGGATCCTCCTAAAGTTGCCACGGTATTAGCTGAGTGCTTTAGAAGAGGTGTTGAAATACTAAGTGATGCACTACTTAGAAGTCTGGAAAATGGTACATTTACATCGCTAGAGAACTACAAGCTAGATCTAAATAGTCTGAAAAATGCTCCATACACAACAATCCAGTCTGAGCACCTGATAACAGTATTAACAACTACAACAGGTAAGCCTATGCTGAACTATTAGATAAATTTTCTATTGCTTCACAAATTGATTTGTACCGAATATATTCGCTAATACTAATCAGCACCACACCCCACCCCCGCCAACAAACGCACTGGCCTTCCAACTTTCTGACTGAAATGACTACTAAGGTACACGCTCTACTTTCTATCATTACCGTATATCTCTTTGTGTAGTCGTTCTTTACATGCATTGGACATTTCTGGATCCGCCTCTGTATTATCATCATCATCATCACCATCGTCATCATCATCACCATCATCATCACCATCATCATCACCATCATTACCATCATCATCACCATCATCATCATCACCATCGTCATCGTCGTCGTCATCGTCATCATCATCATTATTATTATTATTATTATTATTGTTATTATTATTATTTATTTATTTATCATCATCATCATCACCATCATTATCATCATCATCATCATCATTATTATTACAACGAATGTGAATCCTTCATAAGTAAATATTACAAATTTTTTTTTCAACAGCAAAGGTCCGAGTGCATACTGTATGCTAAAACGAAAAGAACGACAAGACAGACAGCCTTTGCAACTGATTTGTCAAAATGCACAAACGAAAAGGAAACACCGAAAATCAAACCAGGTTAAACGTAAAAGACTGCCAGGACATAATTTATTCACCCGTTCTAGCATGGCTCAGGTAAATAATTAAACATTTTGTATAGGATATAGGCTTAAAAAAAACCCCTACTTTTTTTCTATTCTTTTATTATCATTATTATTACGCTCAACAAATTGTTTTGTCATTGTTTCTTCTAATTAAAGATAATGCATGACCAGCCAGAACTACAGTTCGGAGAAAGAACCGCAATCATTAACCAATTAAGGAGGGAATGTACCAATGTTGAACGACGAGAGTGGAATGAACGTGCCCAAAACGATCTGTGACAACAATGCTTTTACTCTAGGTATGCCCATATATTATACATTCCTTCATCCATTCATTCATCCATCCATCCATTCATTCATTCATTCATTCATCCATCCATCCATCCATCCATCCATCCATTCATTCATTCATTCATTTGGTTAAAATCACAATACAAATTTACAGCAAAAACATGAAATTAAAGGCAATTACACTAATGTTTTAAATTGTCACACTAAAACTTCAGATTCAGATTTGATTTATTGATTCATTCACATCATACATAACAGTAAACACACACACTTATCATAATCAGGGACAAACGTATTTTTTTCTTAGCCAACCCGTTCGGAGATAACACTTCCCTCCCCACCCCCAACTAGGCTTCTCAGAACAAAACAAATTACAATGTTTTATTAATGTGCCTTTGTAGGATATAAAATAATACTATTTTATATAAAACTACAAAAAGTACCGGACCTGTGTGTACTGCACTTAATTACTTCAGTCAAGTCCTACAAGATTTATAATTGTGTTCACGCATCCTCTAGTCACTGAATTATAGTATACATTTTTCATCACAGAAGCCTGTATACACTGTGTTTTGAAGAGAAAAACGTGTCTAAATTACATATAATGTGAATTCAATCCCTGTTTGAATTAAGCTGTTGTGATGGTTTATTATATATATATATATATATATATATATATATAGATCTTCAATAAAACAACTTGTTTGAAAGCCACTATAAATACATTACCAATGATGGTAATTTCGAATTCAATTCTACCTTATGCGCCATTAGGCTATGGCTAAATAACAGCTTATTTTTTCAACGTCCAAGCACAATTTAATTGAAATTGATAAACCCTATCAGAAATATACTAGCTTGTTGTTTGGTGGGGGAGGGGGTAGTCCGATAAGCTGTTAATTACGAGTATTGTTGAATAAAATCGCCGGTTCCTTTGATTTCGTCGGATTAAGATGTAATTAATTCTCAGTATCAATTAATAGGACCACGTGAACTGCAGCGAGTTCTATCCTTATCATCTAGATAGTTGCATTCAATAGATTGCTTATTCAAAATAACAATCTATTGATTGACTGTAGCTTACGTTGTAAGTAAGTTTCCTTTTGCCGTGAATTTGTAGATGATCGGACCTGAAAGGCGGGTTACTAAACTTGTATACAATTTTATGGTTCCACAGATACTATTAGAACTTCGACAACGAAGTAAATATGTCTCCAGTGTCTCAGTTCCAGATAGGCCAAGAAGTAGAAGTCTTAGATGATGAGACTGGTGTCCGGAGAGCTGCCACAATCACTGGAATAAACATTTCTACAAATGGTAATCGTTACGGTGTACATTATCGAGGATGGCAGCCAAAACACGATACTTTTAAATTTCAAGATTGCATTCGAAACGCTACACCAGTGGAGAATTGGGAAAGCGACAACCAAAGAGGAAGAGTCCGAGTGAGCTCCCTAGTTCTTATAAGCGACTTCACACAATTAAGCCTGAACATCTGACGGAAGGTGATGTTGTTTATTTCATGATAGATCCAGAACAATATCAAGGTAATATTATTGTTAACGACCCGTTTCTGAAAACATTGAATGTGTCATATGACACTAGTGGAGGCTCCGGAGATGTTAATATTGTTGATGTAACTATCGGATATAGTGACATTGTCGATTTCAAAGAACAGGATAGGGCTAACCCCGAACAACCGAAAGCCAAATTAAGCACTGCACGGAAACCAAAAAGATGTAATCGTGTTGGTAAAACAAACCATATCTGGACAGACAACACACGTTCGACAGATGGTGCAAATATCCCAAATAATAATCATGAAGAGGAAATTACACACTGTATTTTTAAGGACGAAATAATTTCAATCGGCTCGTTCCTTGCAACCACAGATAATGATATATACCACTTTGTAACCTCTATGGTAATAGGAAGTAACGGATCTATTAAGGCGTCAGGATACAAAGTAAGAAAACTGGGCACAGACAACTTATTGATGAGGCTCATTCAGCAATGGTCTTGATAACCCAAAGATAATTAAACCTAAACTAAATGCTAAATAGATTGAACGCTGGCGCAGTACGCAACGAGCAGCAGAAGAACGCGTGAACACGCTTTCGTCAATAAAAACGTCAACGTATGAACAACGGAAAGCTTCATTAAGGACGTTGATACGGCAGGAAGTTCAACGGAGCTTGTCATCCAAGAAGCGTCAAGCACGATTCCACGTCTTGTACGAGCAAGGCATTGATGCCAAATTATTTGGCCTAAATGCTGGCAACATGTTCCACGAAGAATATTCACCGGAAAGCTTTCATCAACTAGACTCCCTCCTCGGCAGTGGTTGGGACTACTGTATGAAAAAGACAGTGATAGGTATTCGTTTGTATCGCGTTTCGATATAAAGCTCATTAAAGAGGAAAGATGTATGGAAATTGTTGCCCACTTATGCAATATTTCCACACAAGGCTGGAGTGAAGACTATCGTTCTCACGTGTTACAAGAAGTCGTAAATGCAAATCAACCTATTTAAAATCATGACAACTTTAACTGTAAATATTGTATTGTAATGTATTGTTATATATTTTATCGGCAATGTTTTATTTAGTATGTAATTGTTTTTTTTCTTGAAAGTATCCAATTTATTATGCCGTGGCTGGGATACAATACCATACCTTAAGTTTTATTTATTGAAAGTAGGCTGATGTAATTTACCTCCAAATAAGGACATTGGCATTGGTCTACGATCATTTCATCAGCCTATCGTTTTATTCAGAAATAGCACCTGCAGTATACAGACTTTTAAAACTATGATTTTCTTATTTTATTTTTAATAACCTTCAAATAATGAAATGTTTCAAACAACACTAAATTCGATTGATATACTTGTGAAAAAAAATATTTTTAGTTAACATGTTTGTTAATATGTACTTCACTAAACCTATTAAAAATAATATTTAAGATTTATAGTTAAGGATAAAAAAAAACACGAATTAGACTTGAGTGTAACAAAAGAATACGTTAAACCATTCGACGGCCAAAACACGCGGCGGACTGGACTAAATGAAACTGAAGACATATTGAGGTCCAACGTTTCGATCTATATGAATATTTTTGAGAGTACTGAAAATTCAAATTCTTAAAAATGACAAATAGATCGAAACTTTATTCATTGAATATAATATACTATAGTAATTAATTAATTATTTTGAATAAACCAATTACTCAACAGCAATCAAATAAAACAAATACGTAGTGTTAAATTTTAGGTATTGTATATTTCTTACTCTTCGCATATCGGACCGAGTATGATATACTATGTTGAAAGTTTAAAATAAATCATTTTTACCTTGAGTGTACCGTACTTCGTGTTGTTTGTGTTTTTCTATCTTAAAAAATTAATTAACAACTGTAAGCTTTAACTTCGAGATATTAGATTTTGATTTATTTTATTTCGTGGAGCAGAGCCGTCTTTATTTTTATACACATAGAGAAAAACAGACATACAGATACTTTTTTTTTTTAAATAAAAGGTATCCGAACTTCTTTCCATTTACCTACTTTAAATAATGATTGTGGTTTACAATCGCTTACAATAATACCTATTCATCCAACCTATTTATTAAATAAAATAATGTGAATAATCAAAATCCTATTATTAACTGTAATATTTAGTTTCCCAATGCTATATTGCGGGTGAGTTGCTGGCAACATGTTCCGCGAAGAATATTCACCGGAAAGCTTTCATCAACTAGACTCCCTCCTCGGCAGTGGTTGGGACTACTGTATGAAAAAGACAACGATAGGTATTCGTTTGTATCGCGTTTCGATATAAAGCTCATTATAGAGGAAAGATGTATGGAAATTGTTGCCCACTTATGCAATATTTCCACACAAGGCTGGAGTGAAGACTATCGTTCTCACGTGTTACAAGAAGTCGTAAATGCAAATCAACCTATTTAAAATCATGACAACTTTAACTGTAAATATTGTATTGTAATGTATTGTTATATATTTTATCAGCAATGTTTTATTTAGTATGTAATTGTTTTTTTTCTTGAAAGTATCAAATTTATTATGCCGTGGCTGGGATACAACACCATACCTTAAATTTGGTTTATTGAAAGTAGGCTGATGTAATTTACCTCCAAATAAGGACATTGGCATTGGTCTACGATCATTTCAGCAGCCTATCGTTTTATTCAGAAATAGCACCTGCAGTATACAGACTTTTAAAACTACGATTTTCTTATTTTAGTTTTAATAACCTTTAAATAATGAAATGTTTCAAACAACACTAAATTCGATTGATATACTTGTGAAAAAAAATATTTTTAGTTAACATGTTTGTTAACATGTACTTCACTAAACCTATTAAAAATAATATTTAAGATTTATAGTTAAGGATAAAAAAAAACACGAATTAGACTTGAGTGTAACAAAAGAATACGTTAAACCAGGGAGTTGTTATGGTTATGTTTTATGTTGAATCCTTATTTATAAAAGTACCATTAGTTAATGAATTGTCCGAGTGTAAAATTATATACCATATTCTCATGTTCCTGACACAATCTTTGTATTAAATAACACTAACATGTATTTACGCTTTAACCATACCCTACGTAATTATGGATTAAGGACCTGTAAATAACTCTCATTATTGACCTAATACTTGTTTAAACCATCCGTTGAGAATTAACTACTTCTATTTCCTACCAATTAAAATATTCGACTATTTGAATTATTTCTTTTATATCCCTCCTTGTTAACTTATAACTATAATTAATTAACAATCTCTTATTTGAAGTTAAATTTCTTAATTTTATATATTTCGTGGATTCATTGAATATAATATACTATAGTGATTAAATAATTATTTTGAATAAACCAATATACTCAACAACAATCAAATAAAAAAATACTTAGGGTTAAATTTTAGGTAATGTATATTTTTTACTCTCTTACCGAGTATGATATACTATGTTGAAAGTTTAAAATAAATCATTTTTACCTTGAGTGTACCGTACTCGTGTTGTTTGTGTTTTTCTATCTTAAAAAAAATAATTAACAACTGTAAGCTTTAACTTTGAGATATTAGATTTTGATTTATTTTATTTCGTGGAGCAGAGCCGTCTTTATTTTTATATACATAGAGAAAAACATACATACAGATACCTTTTTTTTTTAAAATAAAAGTTATCCAAACTTCTTTCCATTTACCTACTTTAAATAATGATTGTGGTTTACAATCGCTTACAATAATACCTATTCATCCAACCTATTTATTGAATAAAATAATGTGAATAATCAAAATCCTATTATTAACTGTAATATTTAGTTTCCCAATGCTATATTGCGGGTGAGTTGGCTGTTTGCAATTTATTACAGAACATGCAGATTTTTAAGCAAAGAAAATCGACGGTCTATACAGGTGAACCTGTTGTATAACACCTCATAATCAGAGAAGGATAAGGCTACACAGATGAAGGCCACTTAATTGCTGACCAGCTGATAGCGTCAAGATTTCAACTTCGTGCTTATTGGTCAATAAGAGTGAACTACGTCACGGATTGCAGGACAATGCATTACTGACCAGATGACAACTTCATGATGTCAACTTCGCGTTTATTGGTCAATGAGCTTTTGGACAAACACTTCCAATCACCTTGAAAGCAACAGTGCTAAATGAGATTTTAATAGGTAACACGCACATCTGTAGAGCCACTAATCTTTCTAAACCGCTCCTAGAGCGGTAACCTAACGTTAGTTTATCGAGGGCGGGTCGAGCTAATGTGAAGATGCAGATGTCTCGACTAGAACAAGCTAACAAGCTATGAGGCACCAAGTGTAAATTTATTATACAGTATAACACAATTACTTATAATTCATTATTTAACGTATAATTAAATAGATCGCCCATTATTTATATATAATGCATTTACGTCTAAAAGATTATATGCAAATAATTGCGTTAACATTTTTATTATTTATATATAATTAGTTTACTGATTTCATTATATATAAATAATGAAAGGGTAACCAAACATTATTTATATATAATAAGGTTACTGGTTTCATTATATGTAAATAAAGAAAAGGGTAACACATCATTATATATAAATAATGAAAAGGTAACAAATCATTATACATAAATAATGAAAACTAACTTACAATTATTTATATATAAGATCACTGATTTCATTATATAAATAACGAATTGACTTCAAACTCATTATATATAAATAACTGCTTTTACATTTTATTTTGTATAAATAATAGCTGTCGCAAAACCATTATATGTATATAATGCTTAGGCTTCAAACTCATTATATGTATTATAATGCACACGTGTTATCTTGTCAAGGTCATATATCTAAATAATGGTTTCTTAATGCCTATATAAATAACCGTTGAGGTAGAGTGCTAATAATACTGTATCCCTTGCTGTGCCATTTTCGATTGGTGATGGTCTGCGACCTGTAGATCACACACAACAGGCCCTAATTGTTACTTTAGAGCACTATTGAATATTTATTACTTCGTATTTTGCATAATGAATTATTTATAAACCATGGCTTCCTACGATGTCATTATTTATATATAATGGTACTCGACCTCAACGGTTATTTATATATAATTGGATTGGATTGGAGTTAGTTGGTGTAAACACCAAGGATAGCCCACGAAAGTCTAGAAGAAGACTTATTTTTAGTAGGGTCCTTCTGGTGGTGATTGGGCAGTACACCGGTAGACAATCCCCTACTCTTTTCCGAAGAGTGTAGTGGGTTCTTTAACGTGCACATGGGCCATAATGCACACAGGACCAACACGTCTCGTCTGAAAGACGGTGCGCTATTGTAAATTGTTTTTCAGCCCTCTAGCTGAAAAACAAGAAGAGGCAGCGATGAGAATCTAGAGATCTCCACGGTTCAGCGCACACACAGCGGCTACCACCCGATTAGCCGACTGAGCTAAGCTGCTCTCTCTCAGTAAGAAACCCTTATTTAAATGACCTTGACACAATAACATGTATTCATTATATACATAATGAGTTTGAAGCCCAAGCATTATATACATATAATGGTTTTGGGACAGCTATTATTATAATGAAATGTTAAAGCAGTTATTTATATATAATGAGTTTGAATTCAATTCGTTATTTATATATAATGAAATCAGTGAACTTATTATATATAAATAATTGTAAGTTAGTTTTCATTATTTATATATAATGATTTGTTACCTTTTCATTATTTATATATAATGGTATGTTACCCTTTCCTTATTTACAATGAAACCAGTAACCATAAATAATGTTTGGTTACCCTTTCATTATTTATATATAATGAAATAAGTACACTAATTATATATAAATAATGAAAACGTTAATGCAATTATTTACATATGATATTTTAGAAGTAAATGCATTATATATAAATAATGGGTGATCTATTCAATTATATGTTAAATACTAAATTATATATAAATAATTGTGTTAAATAATAAATTTACACTTGGCGCCTCATAACCAGCTCCCTTCTGCCTACCTACTTGAATTAAAACAGTTAGTATACAGATCTGGCCTGCTGAGAACGACTATGGACTGATAAACACAGTAGGCTATACTTACAAAACCTTGCTCACTGCTAGCTGCTACACAGATTTAGGCCTTTAGGGTAGAATATTGTTAAAAAGGTAGGCGTCTGTAAGTAAGAAATTAAAAATAGGCCAAGCTTCTACTAGACTAGGCCTACTACTTCTGACTCCATAACCCTGAGCCATCCTCCTGGAAAGTTAAAGTGTTGTATTTGTAATGATATGCCATCTAGTCTAAGCTTAATTGTTTTTGCCATTGCCAAAATTAGTCTTACTAGGCCGGGTCTATTCTAAATATTTTAGGCTCGTTTTATTAGAGAGGACTATTTTTAGTCATGCATAACTAGCTGACGCGAGTGACTCAGTTTCGTGGCTCCAAAAATATGAACATTTGATTGGTTGAAATTGTTTATTTTGGTCCGGCCATTTTTTCAAATACAGAAATACAAGATTACGTCATTCTTTTGGCATCCTGGTGCCTGAATTCAGTGTTTTACAAGTTGCTTATTCCGTCTCTAAATTAACTTTCTCGTTGGTGGCATTGTCCAGAATGAGAAAAATAATAAAAAATAAGAGACTTGTGGCAAGTACAATTTGTCATGTAAAATTAGATCGACTTAGAAATTATTCGACATAGGCACAGTCGACTTAGACAAGTTTAACTGTACATCATAAAAAACCCAAATCTTACATGATATCAGGTTGGAAAGTTGATGTAAGATCTCTCCCATCCATTCCTACCTTAATGCATTAAGGAGAAAAATGCATAACTAAGGTCTGGCAAAACCAAACTAAATGTAAACTTATCAGATTTTGTTTCCTGTACTGTCATAATATAAATTTTAAGAAGTTTGGTCAATGCATTAAGGTAGGAATAGGGATGGAAGATGGGTAATTTGCAGTGGTCATATACCATCTTCACAACCTGATATCAGGTAGAATTTAGGGTGTTTTTTTTTTGTGAATTACTGTCACTGATAGTAGGCTATTTTGTTGTGGAAAAAAGTGGTCCAGTGCTACATAACCTGATTTTTCACTACACTGTCATATTTAGGAGGTTTTACCAATACAACCTGTTATCATGAAAGATAATAGGTTTTTATGATGTACACTCACAATACTGTACTTTGTTCTGACAAAATATGTCAAAGCTTGTGTCTTAACCAGAGGAGCATGTACAGCAAACTTTTTACTCTAAATAACAGGTTAATTAAAGTTAAGGAAAGAAAAATAAATTTAACATTTGAATTGTTTAATGCTTTATCTGTAAACATAGTAAGCAAATATTTAAAATTTTGTTATCTTGATAGCGCAATTTATGGATTTGTGAAGTAGTCCTCTTCAAACGTGTTTTTGTCAAAACGTTGTTTCATCGAAATTGAAGTTTATGTGTCTTTGTGAAAGCAGTGATGATATTGGTGGATTTTGAGCTAAAACTAAGAATGTCACCTGGATACTTTTCTGAAAATTTGGTGATTTGACATGGAATAGCCACTTTGCATTTACAATTAAAAAGTGCATAGATATGCATAGTGTAGTTTCACAACACAACAAAGTATTTCAATAATGGGATGTAAAACTTTTGCGATATCTTGGAACAGATATTAGTGAAAGCATGCCCAGTGACATGCACATAGTGTAAGAACAATTTTACAAAAAATTTAATTTTTAAATTGTTCACAGTATCTCTTCATCACTTTGTTTACATTGTCCTGCAGGTCAACACCTCCAACTTGCACCAGTTGGGTAACCTTAAAAAAGAAAAGATCAGGTCATTACACATTATTATATATGCTGAAATAATATGGGTAGCTATAGTATAAAACAAGAATAAACTATTAAAATGTTCACAAGCTTTCATTCATATATTGAATTTTTTTCAGGTGACTAAATGCTTTCAAATATTATTACTTGATGGATAATCTCAATTTTGGCTATTAATCATGTGACTTCCTGGTAAACACCAATGATTTTTTTTAAAGTGTAGACACTCAAATGGAGATCATCTGTGTTACTTTCTAATAGTAAACGGCTGTGTAAACATGGCTTAAGTCAAGTATTACCAGTTTGGTAAAATTGGATTGTGAGTTAGTAGTAGGAATAAATTATTTGCATGAAAGCTAAATTATTTTTGTCAGAATACATTAACAAAGATTAATTTTACTAACAGTGTACTTTTTTTCATCGCAAAATAACCTGCAATACAGTGACACCATTTCCTAACAGAAGGTGGAATGGTCATGATGTCCCCACTGCAAAAATAGCAAATTCAGAGTTCAGTGTGAACTGATATTTCAGTTTGAAATGGAGCTGTAGAAGAAACTGGAAATATCAGAATCAAGTGCAGTTCAACATCATTTGAATGTTTGGCAGAAATCCTGCTTGTCCCAGAAGAATTTCTTTTTGAGAGGTTTATGCGATACACTACCACAAGGGATACTAGAATTAATGTTGCAGACGAAGGTTGTTAAAAGTGGGTGGTGATCACTTGTGTTTTCAGAAAAAAAGTTGTGATAATTTGACAGTTCTTAACCATGGATACGAAGTTAGAGATATTGAAATTACTATCTCCCAGAAAATCATATAGAATGTAACTATACTCTGTGAATGGGTGATTTCTATGCCAATTAAATCTAGTCCCATTATGATTCTCGGCAATTTTTATGCTAACCTCCTTCGTAATTCCAACCTTGATTCAGATTCGCCGATTAGAGATTGGAGGTCATTAATTGTTTCGTCATAGAGTTGAACCACAACCACCACCACCATCAGATGAACATTTGCAAATGCAGCCAACTCCACTACATATGGGCGACCGACAGTTACTTCTTCATGATCCATACTCGATTTAAGAAACGACTTTTAACCATCTGCATGAAAAAAAAAATTGTTAATATTAAACATTTCATTAACACGTAACAAGTGCTCAGATAGAATCACATTCATTAGGATTAACAAAATGAGTCAAGGAATCAAGACCACTGTGACCAAAACAATTAAACAACAATTTGGTACACTTGCCCTCCTATAAGAGTTTTAATAACACATACAATCAACAAAAGACTCTTGTCAACATTCCATGCTCTTTTTACTTTTATTATAGATCATTTAAAACAATCACATTATTTGAGTTTACAATATAAGTTACATGAGATCCTGTCCAAGAGACAGCCATATGAAGATCCTGTTAAACTGCCTGTACTTGCATAGTATGAGTGCTACAGGTTCAACAAACCCAATATCGACATCTCTTTCTAATGGTCTTTTACATAAAAAGTTCAAAATAATATGTATGGAAATATCATTTCAACAATATAATTACTATAATTTACGCATTCATTATAATATCAACTGAATTTTATTAAATCTTCTTCACATTTTCTTAGATAGTTGCTCAACAACACAATATCACATTTTTGCAATACATATTTCCTGTTGGGACATTAGAAATGCATTATGGTAAAACAGTGAATGCTTAATATATTAATGATTGCACATTATTAAGCCATATGTCTATCAAAACTTAGATGAACAAAAAATGACTATTTCTGTAAGTGTGTGTTTGAAAATATAAAATTGAACTTGAGCTTTGGCAATATTTGAAAGTCTATAAAATGAATTTAATATCTTCAGACACTAAACAGATTTAAATGATTTGACTGAACTGGATTATTGGAATAATCGAGTGAATCACACACATAAAACTCTCAGTATTCTTAATAATATGGGTGGTGTTAAATATCCTGCAAGTTATAGGGAGTTCCTGAAAACAAAAACGAACTCTAACCTGTGGGCATACACAAATTACCTGGAATCTAATCGAATGTTCAGAATTCAGAATGTTTGCATCTTTCCACTACAGTACTATAAAATTATGTTGACGTTTCTCTATGTTGTGGGCCGCCCTCTCCCAGTAGTTTCAAAACTGATAAGCTGGTTGTAAATATTAGAAAGCAACCAACTAGCAAACCAGTAATTGTCCGTTGATGACGAATCAAAATATCACAAACAGTATGTATATTATTGGTTTACTTACAAGAATTTTTCCATGTTCATACATCCAGAAACCAGATGAAACTATTTGAGCTTACAAACAGGGGTGGCGCCAGCTGAAGGGGGAGGGGGGACTCCAGGGCCCCCGTCGGGAGAAATAAAATGTATATGTAAATGTATTTTTGGATCACTTTCAAAAGACTTTGAGTGGCGCCTGACCACGCCCACTTTTTTTTGTCGGGAAAATCGGCTCCTCTGTTGGGCAAATCCTGACGCCACCCCTGCTTACAAAAGGATCTGTTAACAAAGCTCATTAAGCCAGATGCCTGCATCAAAACTAATAATTAAAATGAATACTGTATGTAGAATTTAGGCATACATCACTGTCACATAAATGATACTGGGCAGTTTATAACTTCTTATACACATATTGCATGCATGTAATACTGTTTTTATTGTAGCTTTAAAATACTTCTGAAGCAAATTTACAAAAGCAAATCAACCTAACATATATATGATAATATATGATTAAAATAAATGATATAATAATAATACAAAAGTAGGTATTCTATCTAATACACTGATAACAATTGATACAGTTGATTGGTTGCTTATGTTTGCTTACAAGACTCACACCACCATGAGCCCCAAACTTAATGTGATGTCGGAAAATAATCAATATATCCTCATATTACTATTTTAATAGGCTTTAGCAATCACCTGCATGTAAAGTTCTTGACCTCTGGGATGGTCACTTACCACAGGTGAAATACCAGCCAAATCCAATTTTTTAAGTTCATAAGTGGTCTGGGTCGCCTACGGAATATGGGTACAAGAGGTACCAGATGCAGTAAGTGAACAGGGAACTAAACAGGTTTTTGGCAAGTGGTTGCTTAACAGAGGTGGTCATCCAGAGAGGTTCAACTGTAATAATAATACCAAAAATAATAATACCAATATCTTTTACGAAAAATTTATATCCATCAATAGGGAAACTGTCTCCATACGGCAGTTAGTTATACTGTATAAGCATTATCACATGTGTAGGTTTCTATATACCAAAGTCACCCTCATGTAATATCTCATGTAATTCATTTAATTGGACCCTGTGATAATGTTACGATGTCAACATTATTGAGAAGTCATGAATAAAACTAATCCATGTCAAACTGCAACAAAAGTTGGTCTTTTATTTGGTCAAATTTGCATTGTACATAACTGGCAAATATCAGAATTTGTCTTTATTTTATTCTTCGTTTATGTTAGTAATAATAAACATTATGAAATCCTAGTTAAAATTTTCATTATTATAAAAAATACTCCTCCAAAATTAAACTAAACACCACTGATACTACTTACTGCCTAGTAGTAATTTACTTTTCCATATTATACTGCCCTCTAATGGTGAAATAATACTCTAATATGTTAATGCAAAAGTGGTCTTTAATAGGAGGTTGTCTTTAATTAGAGGGAGATCTGAATGTTTCAAGTCAATTCCTAAATAGCATTATGAATGTTTTGTTTAACATTAATTTCCTCTTAAGCATCTATGTTCAAGTTATTTTCCATTTTAGAACAACATGTAACTGTTTTTATGTGGTCAAAGTAATGCTAATTTTAATGCCTCCAGTATTTGTAATTAATGTACACATTACAATTTCAATCTATATTTCATCTTAAAGTCCAAATTACCTATAAAAGTAGTGTCATCTACTAGAACACATTTGAATGTACTTTGTGTATCCATCAAAATGCATGCAAATTGTATTTTTATACATATATACATAATTAATATACAGTTTAATGCATTTATTTATATAATTCATTTATGTACACATAACTATGAAACTTCCTTATTTAAGAAACCCTATTCTGATTCTGCTCACAATACTGCTTCAATGATTTTAAACTCTTTGGAAACATGTCATGCAAAAAGACCCATTCTTGTGACCTTTGCACTCAAAAATGTATGCAGGATAAATACAGTTGGCTTGGGACATTCCTGGATGTCAAGCTCCTGAAAAGAAAAAAAAAAAAACATTTGTTAACTGTAATATTTTGTATTGTTATATAAGTTTTACTTATTGAACAAATTAAATGCCAAAATAAGTGGTGTCCACTGAGGGAATGGGCACGTCCCCCCACATATTTTTAAGGGGGAGGGGGTCCTCTTACTTTTCAGTGATAATGTGATTTCATAAGTCAAGAAGATGTCTGAAAATTGTTGTAATGAACTGCATAATTAAGTGACCCAGGTTTTAATGAAAGAGCTCTGTACAACCAGAATACATCTTATCTTATATCAAGATAACTGCCCACAAATATCTGAATTACCTAAGCATGACACAAGTGCTCATGCCTTATTATGATTTAAGAAGTATGAGAAAAAGCGTGTAAAGATAAGTTTGGTTTTTGGTAGGCACAGTAAAGTAAATACATCAAAGACAATTAAGTTTTATTTTCATGAGAAATTTGTTGCCGCTAATTCGCAATTTTAACTACTTTTTTGAGGGGGGAGTGGTGCATGTAATTTTTGGATGGTCATGCGCACGCCACCCCCACTAGAAATGCCACTGTATATCGTAACAACTTACAAATTCCCCTTCATTTGCTCCGAAATCCAGCAGCAGGAATTTCTGGCCATCATCAGAAGAAAAGCGTAACTTATCAAATGGGTAGTACCACATCACTTGAGGCTTGTTTCCATTCTGATTTGTTGTCAATGTAAAACCATTCTCATAATGAATTACCAGCTTTGCATCTCTTCCCTGCCACTTAACAGCTAAGAGATGAAAATAAAACAAATCAGAATTATTAAATTATAAATTGTATTAGTGAATGAAACAACAAAAACCCTTTCATATGTGAAGAGTAATATTAAAACTGAGAATAAAATGGTATAAAAGCGGTGCATGGAGGTTTTACAAGCACTCTAGAAACGTTAATTAAATTAAAATTCACTTAACTCACTGCATTAAAATTTAATTAAAGATAATATTCTCTAATGCACTATTTTAAAACTTACAACAACTGATCTCTTTCTTGGCTACTGCAGCATGGTGTGCTCCTTGTACAAATTGTCTGGTCCACATAGCCAGGTCACGCCTCATATCTACTTTGAACAGGTGAGCTTCGATCCCATCTGGTGTACCTGTCCTTGTACCAAACGTTAGTTCCGCACCCCCTTTACTACTTGTCATTCCTTTTGGATTGCCAGAATACAGTAATCTGTAGAAAGACAATTTTTTTAAAATTAATAAGACAAAATATAATACATTTTAAATGCTAGATTCTTGATTATTTTGATAAAGTAATGAAGATGAATGGATTGGTGTTAGTGAAGTTATGTGGCTAATTTAAAGGAGCAATGGAAATAGTCATTATATAGGACTCAGAGCAAGGACTACAGTATATCAAAATAGATAATATACTGGAGTTTCTTAACTCCAACAAAGAAGCCCCACTAAAAATCATTCACAAGGAACTAAAACTTAAAATTTATTAATATAAAATAACAAAAACAATAAAAATAACAAATAACAACAATACATGATTTAATTAATAATTAAAATTATATTCATTTCATATATTATCGAACCCTCCGATCACTAATAATGGCAATTTTGAATAAAAAACTGAATTTCATATTTGGGCAGTTGGTGCACACTCCACCATGAAAAATGGAAATTTTAGAAGAAAAAAAAATGTTTTCTCCTTTGCCAAATGCTTTTTGCAAAATCATTTTGCTAAATAAGAATAAAAAATATTTTCAATTTTTTTGTCCTCCTTTTACAATCTTTAAAGAAATAAACTTGCTAACAGTATTAAAAAAGTCCATTTTTTTCTCTCAATAGTACAACTTCAATGTATTGTAAGTACTTTTGTAGAATTATATAATATTTGATGTTGTCAACAGTCAAAATTCATAAAACTGTTTATTGAGTATATAGCAAGGCAAATACAGCTGGGTGTTACAAATGAATGACATCATGTAAACAAGCACAACATAATCATCATCAGATAGAGATAGGTTGGTCCCTAGGAATTCTCACTGTTGCCAATCATATACCTCATTATTCTATGCACAGAATTGCAGCAGTTAATATTTAAATAAATTATAATTTAGAATATCAAAATACAGTAGATTGACATATGGTAAATAACACATAAATCGTGTACAGCATGTTAGAATACACTGGCCTAACGATCATAAATATAGGATTTCAACAGGGCTGTGGGCTCACACTAGCCAATCGCCAAGTCGCCATGGGCGAAAAATATCCAACTGCTGTAGCCATTTTTGTTAAGGCTTAAAATCGTTTCAAATACTTGCTAAAATACATAATTTTTTTTTCTTTTTTCAACGTTTATTTGTGTTGTTGTATTAGTAGTAGTCTATCTGCAAATGTCATTGCGTGCTTCGTAATTTGTTATTTTAACGCGGTGGATTCAGAGCAGTGGACAGCATTGGTGGGACTTTATGACCTGATACATAATTATGCTGAAAATACATAAAATACTGGTTTTCTGGAAAATCTATGGTTCCGATTACTCCAAAAAAGTAGGCTATTTTCCTTACTGGACAATACTGGACAGGCCTAGGCCATCGTAATTTTTGTGTTACAGTACAAATTTTAAAGTACGACGTTGGTGTGCTAAAAATATTAAAATACCTATCAAATGATATTATTTTGATTGCCAATTCCTAATGTAGTCTAAAATCACAATTTTGGGCCATAAAACTCTCCCCATGAACTTACCATGGTCTGGATTATTTCCCAGTACCCTGATCAATGCTCTGGTCAGCTCGGACGATTTTTAATGATTTTAAAATAATGTTCGTCAAATTTTGGCTAAAGACACATTCAATTGGCTAAAAAAATTATTGACTTGAGCAAATTGACCAAACAAAAAAAAAATGTTAGAGTGAGCCCAGGGGCTGTACATACAGTAACCAAATATACTATTAAAAAGGATATTTCATTAGTGTATTGGGGATTGTTCAGTAGTGCACTGGGGTTTGTGGAGCTGTGCACAACCCCTACAAATATCAGTACCTTTCACATTAATATAAAACATAAACATTTTTACTTTAAAAAAAATGGGGGAAAATGGAAAGGCTCTCACAACATTTTGAATCCTAGAGGGTTGCTTAAAAAGTTGAAATTTGATTTTAAGTCAACATCTAAAATGTTTAAAAAAAAATGGAGATCTAAATGGAAAAACAATGTATTTTAGCAAGTATTAAAACCTTTATTTTATTTTAGGCCTTCTTAAAAATGCCTATGCCTACAGAAGTTGATTTTTTGGCCGCAAAACCAAAATAGTTTCATCCATGCCGACTTGCCGATCGGTTAGCGTGAGCCCTGACTGAAAACTGCAGAAACTTCACATCGAACTTCGCATCGCGATGTAAAACAAAATGTTGGAAAACTTTTCTTTGACGCATGCACATTTGCATAAATGTCTAAACACACACGCACACACACACTACACACAGGAAAAACAGTAAAGAGTGATTACAATAGTTTCTATTGCATTACAGGCATAGGATCTAAAAGGTATAAAATAATGTTTTTGGAATGATAAGACATTCAATGTTAAAATACTTTTTTAATTGTAGGCCACCAGTTTATACAAATATGTGAGAGGAGTAGCCGCTGCTTTGAATTGTGTATTTTATAGTTCACTGCATTTTTCCTTAGCATCACAACTGCAAAACATAATTGATTGCAAGCTAGTTTCACCTTCCAGGCTGAACTTGCTAATTTCAAAACTATCTTATATCAAATATCGAATGTCCCATCAGACAACTCACATCCCCTAAAGGGTCTGGCTGTTAGACCTGTCACCATGGTAACCCCTAGAGCGCACTTATTGCATTTTAATCAGAATTGACTAGTTGAACCAATAAAATAACACCTTTTGAGGTTCACTGACACTTCCCGCTCAGTAGACAATCCAGGCATCACATTCGACAATCCATGAGTTGAAGATAATTTGATTTCTTCTCTAGGAATGATCTTATTTATATTCATTTTCAAACTAAGGTTTGGAAGTAGATCATATATACAGCAAATATTAAGAAGACAATAAATATCAAAAATTAAAAAATCTACAGTACAATATTTTTCAATACAATCTCTAACACCTGAAACTATTCACTAGTCCAACAGCAATAATTGCAGTGAATTACATTAGATCAACTTCTTCCATTAATGATAATATGGTATACTTATTCATTACTGGTAACACTGAAAGTGGACATTTTTAAGGATTAGTAAACACTGCCCTCACTTGTCAGGAGTATTTTGCCATCTATATAGTATTAGGAGTAAAGCAAAAAATGTTGGCTTTATACACATTTAATGTGTATGCCATGCCTTGCGATCAATTATTGTTTCCTATAAATCTCAATATATTTATATTATTTCTGATATTTTTAATTCTACTTTTTCTATCTTTCTTACTATTTTTCATGTTCTCCATTCTGCATTAAGTATTCGAATGGAAATTGTTTAAAAGCTTTTTGGGTTTAATATTCCTCAGTTCGTTCTGAAAATATTGTCCCTTTTCTATGTTTAATCTAAATGAAATGAATAAAACTGAACTGAATCCTATAATATCTAAGCAAACTAAAGTCACAGGTACAATAAATAAATACTGAAATTATTAGGTAAGTCAAAGTAAAGTAGAACTGATGGCAATTATAAAATTCTTTAATAATATTCATCATTTTTCATGCAGTTATTTTTTTGCATCAATTGTTCAATTCTTAAATGCAGATTTTAGGTGAGAAGATGCATGTTAACAAACCTCGAAGGGTCCGGAAGTATTATTATTATTATGCGCTATATAAATTAGACAAGTTTTAAGAATTGAAGATGTGTCAGGATTCACTGCTAAAGAAGCATTTCACAAGTTATACAGTAGTACGGTATTATGCATCAAAGTCAATACTAACAGTGAGCAGGTGTTTAGATAAATTAACTATTAAATCTTTCATGCAAAACATGCTTATTTATAATATAAAAATGTACTAATTTCCGAAGTGGTTAAGAAAATACAATATGAATGTTATAATAATTAAAATTATGATGTCAAGAACGACTTACTATAAAGTACTGTATCAATTTTCATAGCTAAAAACCACAGTATCATTAAATGAAAACAATGTTAAAGATGAGAAACTTGATATAATAAATAGCTAATCATATGCAAGGAGAAAGCATATTTACCACCAGGCACAGATGAATATTTGCAATGCTTAATAATAATGAAATTGAAATTGCCAGTGATAAAAGCAAATCTTTAATAACCTATTCAGACTAGCATTGCATTCTGATCGGTTGTAGCAATTGCGACACACAATCCCACCCAATCGTAACGTAAAATCGTGTGTGAAAGCTCACCAATACAGTAATAGTCAATAAGTAATCAATATCACAATTGTTACCTCTTGCGATTGGGTGTTACAATCTTTATTACTCACGATTAACACGGAATCCGATCGCAACAAATTCCACAGGCACTGTTTTGGCTGTGGTTGGTCAACATAGGCCTAGCCACCAGAGTCCTAGGCCCTAGAATGTAAAGTTTGTTTGTGTTGGTCTGAATGCGTTTGTTGATTGTGATCGGGAGTAATCAGTATTGGATTACCACCGATTTCATCGCAACTGATTGCAACAGAGTGTAGTCTGAATTTGGTATAAGTATATTAGATTAGATACTGTCCTTAGAGAAGTGACTGAAGAATTGGATGTTCAAATACATTCCGGAAGAATTGAAGAGAAATGAGGGAGAGAATGCTGGATGATTTGAAACGATGTAGATAACATGAAAGGTTTATCACAAGAACAGGCAGCATGAATCTCATGATCAAACTCATAAAACTAAACCTGCCTTGGGCAGAATACTAATGCTACTTATGATATTGTCATAATGTAATGTCCACGCATCATGTTGAATCATGATCTATCGCAAATTGCATGGAGTTTCTAAAAATAAACCGTTTTTATAACTTTGAAAAAAATATTTTTTTTAAAACCTGAAGATTATGGTACTGTATGGTTTCAAGGCAAGCGTAACATTACAAGAGAAACATATGCTATATAAAATAAAGGATAAGATTCACATTCAAATATACAAACAGAAAAATTTGATTATAAAGGCAATTAAAAGTTAAAAATAATGGTGTGTAAGTAGGTGTGTCTGGATAATTACTAATA